GTTTCAGCAAATGGAATGATTTTGGTGACAAATCTTATATTGACACATATTTTAAGAAAAGTAGTAGTAGTATTAGTTTTGATCAAGACTGAGGTTGATTAATAAGTTTGTACAAAAAAGCAGAACAAAAATATTTATTTGATGCATTTCACAGCAGTTTAATTCAGTGGATCTTTTAATCCAAAACATAACAAAAAGGGTTGTAAATTTGAACAGTGCACAAGGGTCAAAGTTGTACTTTTTATCATGTAGTTTGAAATCAGTAATAGATTACAAGTAGTAAGTAATCTAGACAGTCTAGGTGTCTAATATGTCTATACACAATAAAAAGAAATATATAGTTGAAGTCAGAATTATTCGCCCCCCTTTTATTTTATTTTATTTTTTTTCTTTTTAAAATATTTCCCAATTGATTTTTTTTTACAGAGCAAGGAAATTTTCACTGTATGTCTGATAATATTTTTTTCCTATGGAGAGTATTTGTTGTATTTTGGCTAGGATAAAAGCACTTTTTAATTTTTTAAAAACCATTTTAAGGACAAAATTATTAGTCCCATTTAAGCTATATATATTTTCGATAGCATACAAAACAAACCATTGTTATACAATAACTTGCCTAATTATCTAACCTGCCTATTAACCCAGTTAAGCCTTTAAATGTCACTTTAAGACGTATAGAAGGGTCTTGAAATATTTTTTGTAAAATATTATTTACTGTCATCATGGCAAAGATAAAAGAAATCAGTTATTAGAAATGAGTTATTAAAACTATTATGTTTAGAAATGTGTTGAAAAAAAACTGCTCTCCGTTAAACAGAAATTGGAAAAATAAACAGTGGGCTAATAATTCTGACTTCAACTGTATATATTGCAGCCTAAAATTTTTAATTGAATCAACTGAACTTTTCTACTCTCCTCAACTTACAATAATTAAAATGACTAAAGTATGACAAAAGATTTAGTAGGATTTTTTTTTCATTTACTAGCATTTTAGTAATAGTGTAACCTTATTTCTATTACACCTCAAGCTTTTATGAATGGCTTTTTTTTCATCAGTTAAGTGACTTATCCCATTAATACACAACTGTGAGAACCGCAGCTCTCGCGGCTCCAGCTGAATTGATTGTCCTTATGTTACCTGTGGATCAAATATCAGCCAGAGAGCATGTGACACTTTGTCTTTATATAAAGCCTGTAAGACATTCCACAGAACCGTTGGCTTCCAGCAGTCATAAAGAACAGTGTCCCATAGAGCTGTTCTCCTGCTGGCCAGACACGCTGGCAGAACACAAACCCTACTGGCCAGGATAACCATTCCATAGAGGAAGGAAAGAAACCATAAGTCAACACTTAAGTCAAATGGGAGTATGTGTGCCGAATCACACAAAGTGTTTCCGAGTGCTACGCTAAGGACTCTTGCAGAATGTCATGTGCTCATGTATGCCGTGACGCTGGCGACCCTCAGGCTCCCCTCAGGCGGAACCGATTCTGCCTTTGTGCGAGTTTGATTCTCTTTGAAAGCTCTCGCTCCACGCTGTGGTCACAGACTGCACTGCTTCATTTAAAAAAGCCTCTTTGACCAGACCATGTGCAACAAAAGTATAGATATTAAGAAACACCGTCAGATGATAAGCCATCGGAACTGTGGCACATTTTGTTCCTGTCATAGAGTTTGTTCTGCTACATTCTGTTCCACAGTTATTCTTGGCAACTGGAAAGATTCATTCACATGCCATGGTATAATATAATATAAAACCGCTAAGTCAGCTTATGTTTTATCTCCGGAATTCTTCAGGCTCAGCCATTCTGCTTTTTTTTTTTTCTCGTAGAGATTAATCATTGAAATGTGCCACATTAATGGAACTGGATCTCTGGTGCAGAAACAGCTTCACGTCCAAAGCTTGTTCGGCACTTTTTAACTAATAAAGGCATTGAGAAAATTTAAGCCATTACTTAATGGAAGCTTAATGCAGTGTGTCAGACTTAATGATTTTTTTCCCAGTGCCCTTTGAATACAGGCGCCCTAAAAATTACATTTAACATGTTTTCAAATGAAGGTATTGCTGGCAAAGGCTAATATTGCAGTAATAATGCCAATGACAGGGCGACATTTTGGGGTCGTAACTTGGCCTACTTCATAGAGCACCAATTTCTCACAGCGTCATGTTTCTCTGCAGTGTGTTGGATCCTCTAAATGTTATCTCATGTCATATTGAAGCTATGACATTTCATACTCGACGCCCTCTTCTTTTGTATACACATAGCACTTTCACGCATTTCCAGTCATACCTGAAAGCCTATATCAGGGGAGCATGACTAAGGGATGGTATGGGGTGGAGTTATTTTGGGATCCCTGGGAAAAGGTCTCATGTAGACGGTAAGGGAGATTAATGATGGCTACTTTGAGTGTTAATGGGGCAGAGGGGTGTGTGTGTTTTGAGCATGCCTACGAGTGTGTGTTTACGAGTGTCATCTAATGGAAAAATCAGCAGATGGCTTGTCTACATTACTCTCTCTGTGGAGTTACTGTATGGCCTCTTCTTGTCTATGGCAGCCCCTGGGATGAGTTGAGGCTCTTCAACTTGAAGTTTCAGAATTTTACGATGGGGTTAAGATATCAGCATGACTCTATTTTAAAATTCCCACGTTTGTTTAGTGACTCGATGTGTGAGTGTTGGTGTACTGGGTGGATTTCCTGTTTACGCTGCTGAATCTGAGCATGTACTGTACCTAGAGTTTTTCCAGAGTCCAGATAGTGAACATGGCTTTCTCTTAATATCTTTAAGGGATTAGTTTACCTAAAAAAAGTATTGTCAACAATAAGTTTATTTATTTACATAAACATCTTGAACACTCATTGCCTAATAATCCAGCAGCGTGTAGGGTCATGCATGGTTTAAATTCATTACATAGCACTCTTTTATTCAGTGAAGTTCACTCTAGTTTTTATGGGCGACATGGTGGCAGAGTGGCACTGTTGCCTCACAGTAAGAAGGTCACTGTTTCAAGCCCCGGCTGGGTCAGTTGGCATTTCTGTGTGGAGTTTGTATGTTCTCCCTGTGTTGGCATGGGGTTCCATCTGGTGCTCCGGTTTCCACCACAGTCCAAAGTTAAGGGTGATTTGGGTAAACTAAATTGTCCATAATGTATGTGTTTATGTCCTGGTCCTCCAGGTTGGGGGTTGAGCATTGGGCTAACAATCCACCTCGTAAAAATGAGATGTTACGAAACACCAACATAGTGCAGCTAAAATATATCAACTTCAATATAAATGGCCCTGGGAGTAAGAAGGGGGGGTTTATTTTAAGGGTTTATTGTCTCTATTTTATTATGTTCATTTTTTTAACTAGGACTAGGCATTTTGAATTACTTAGCGATTACTATTCAATTCAATTCACCTTTATTTGTATAGCGCTTTTACAATATATATTGTGTCAAAGCAGCTTCACATAAAAGATCATAGTAAATAGAAACAGTGTCAGTTCAATTTTCAGTGTTTAAGTTCAGTTCAGTTTAGCTCAGTTCAGTGTGGTTTAATAATCACTACTGAGAGTCCAAACACTGAAGAGCAAATCCATCGATGCTCAGCTCTACAGATCCCGAACCATGCAAGCCAGTGGCTACAGCGGCGAGAAAAAAAAACTTCACTAATTGGTGAAAGTGAAGAAGAAAAAAAAAAAAAACTCGAGAGAAACCAGACATAGTTGGGCTCGATCATTACCATTTCTCCGCTGGCCAAACGTCTTGTGCAGAGCTGCAGTCTCAGAGGCGGAGGCTGGAAGCTGAACCTGAAGCAAATCCATCGATGCATAGCTCTACAGATCTCAAACTATGCCACCATGGATATTATCAGGAAGGCTATTGCAGAGTTTAGGGGCCATAAATGAGAAGGCTCGACCTCCTTTACTAGAGATTACTAGAGACTAGACCAGGAGTGCCCAAACCTTTTCTTATGAAGGGCCAAAAACCAAACCTGATTAAGGGCTGTGGGCCAATCGTAAAGAAACCAAATTGTTTTACATTAATGGCGACGCAGTGGCACAGTAGGTAGTGCTGTCGCCTCACAGCAAGAAGGTTGCTGGTTCAAGCCTCAGCTGGGTCAGTTGGCGTTTCTGTGTGGAGTTTGCATGTTCTTCCTGTGTTTGCGTGCTCCACCGGGTGCTCCGGTTGCCCCCACAGTCCAAAGACATGCAGTACAGGTGAATTGGGTAGGCTAAATTGTCCTTAGTGTATGAGTGTGAGTGGATGTTTCCCAGAGATTAGTTGCGGATGGAAGGGCATCCGCTGCGTAAAAAAACGGCGTAAAAAAAATAAAGGAACTAAGCCAACAAGAAAATTAATGAATAAATGTATTACATTAATTTTCCATGAGTAATTTCCTAATATTTTTTAAATCAATACAAAACCTTGCTTTAAATTATCAAAGATGTTTGCCCCAACCCTATCCCATCATTCTTCCTCTCTCCTCAAATGGGATGGTGGGCCAAATCAAAGGTTAGTATGGGCCATCTTTGGCCACCCCTGGACTAGACTATCACAATACTTTTTTTTTTTTTTTTAAGTTCTCATTCATTGCAAATCCATGGGAACTAATATCAACAATACATTTAAATAATAAATACTTCTATTTTTGTCCATAGTAGGATTTTTTCTCAAGTTTTAGATCAGCATGAGGGTGATTAAATGATAAAATCATTTTTATTTTTGGATAAAATGTTCCATACAGGCTAGTATAATGAAAATTAAAACATTTTGTAATGGTTACAGAAGGCAACCCAGTTTTACACATAATTATCAGCTCTGGATCACAAATGCCAGACTTTAAGGTTGATCAGGTTGTGATGGAGTCTATGCCCATCATTCACCTGCAACTGTCAAAAAATGGCTCTGAATGTGTCAATAAGGTCAACAAATCTAGGCAAGATTTATGTAGTGTGTTCTACCCATAATGTATACAAGTTAGTTCTGATTCTGATTCTTCAATTTTTTGTTCCTTTCAGAATGAAGAGGAGGTTCTGCTGGATGACGTCTCACTCACGCCTTGTTTATTCAAGCAGATGCATGAAGTGCCAAAAGGTGTTTATCAGAAGCAAAACCACTAATGAACAAACAAATGAATTACACATGATGCCTCCGGCTGCTTGTGCATAGGGTCGTTGTATGGACGGGAGGAGTGTGATACAAAAAGAGAGACACTGGGGCGACGATTTCGTCGCAGGCTATGGGGGCCATGGTGACCTAGATTCAGTGATCGTTTCCTGGCAGGGCAACTCCATTCCCATCTAATCCCTGCTCTCTTTTATTTCTACCTCCCTTCCAGAGTGAGGCGCCACCCTCTCTCTGTCCCTACCACCTGCTTTGCCAAGACAGCTATGGCTGGAGTAAGAAAGTTGGCGCGAGTCATCAGGCACCAAGGTCTCCATCGCCTGATCCTTGCACTCATCCTCTTCTGTCTGCTTTCTATGGCCTACCTAGCTTATCATGTCAGTGCTGGACACAAGATCAAGGAAGCCCCTCTGCCGCTGCCCCTAGGAGACTGTGTAGCTTCATCAGTCATTGGTGGTGGGCAAAGGACTCCACTGTTCCTGCCATCACAGATCAGCCAGCGCCGACACTCAGCAAAGACGGTGGACACCTCTCGGACAGAGCCTGTGGTCTTACTCTTTGTGGAAAGCATCTACTCACAACTCGGACAAGAAATTGTTGCCATTTTAGAGTCAAGCCGATTTCATTATCGCACTGAAATTGCACCGGGTAAAGGAGACATGCCACCTCTGGCTTGGCGAGGCCGTGGCCGATACTCACTCATCATCTATGAGAACCTGCTCAAGTATGTCAACTTGGACTCGTGGAACCGCCAGTTGCTGGATAAATACTGCCAAGACTATGGAGTGGGAATCATTGGCTTTTATAGGGCGAATGAAAACTCTCCATCCAGTGCTCAGCTCCGAGGCTTCCCCCTGTTCTTGCGTTCAAACTTGCCACTTTGGGATTACCGAGTCAGCCCTGCCGCACCGCTGCTCTACATCACCAAACCTAATGAGCTGGAGCCGGGCCCTCTACCTGCAGATAACTGGACCACCTTCCTCTCCAACCACAGCACGTATGAGCCTGTGCTGCTAGCGAGCCCCAAGCCTGCAGAAGCCAATCAGCTCCCAACACACTCACACCAACAGAGAGCACTGCTGGCTACGGTTGTGCAGGATTTAGGTCTTCACGATGGGATCCAGCGGGTGTTCTTTGGTGGTAGCTTGTCTTTTTGGCTGCACAAACTGCTCTTTGTGGATGCTGTGGGATATTTAACTGGAAGGCGGCTCAGCCTCTCGTTGGACAGATTTTTGCTGGTGGACGTGGATGACATCTTTGTTGGGAAGGAGGGGACGCGGATGAAAGTGTCAGATGTTGAGGTAAGAGCCTTACATAAGTATTGGATACAATAGTCTGTCAATATTGTTTTATTATGATTAATGATTTCATTTCTGTAAAAATGATGGGTTCCACACAATTACTTCATGTTGTTATAACACAAATAGATTGTTAGCTCAGTTGTTTTTACAAAATTAAGTGGATTGAACATAAAACAATCAAGTTGTCCTAAATAATAATAACCCCTTCTATAATTCATTCATTAATTTTCTTTTCGGCTTAGTCCCTTTATTAATCAGGGGTCACCATGGTCGAATGAACTGCCAACTTATCCAGCACCTTTTATGCAGCGGTTGCCCTTCCAGCTGCAACCCATCACTGGCAATTTAGCTTACCCAATTCACCTATAGCGCATGTCTTTGGGCTGTGGGGAAACCGGAGCACCTGGGGGAAACACATGCAAACACTTGGAGAACATGCAAACTCCACACAGAAACGCCAACTGACCACGCTGAGGCTTGAACCAGCGACCTTCTTGCTGTGAAGCGAAAGTGCTACCCACTGTGCCACCACGCCACCCTAGTATAATCATAAACTATAAAAATTTGGCAACCATCATATTCATGAAAAAACTGTTGAAATCATCATGTCAATCACGCCTGAGCTAGTTCATCTTCCATCATTTGTTTGAGTAATCCAAGCTCAGAGCTTCTCTCTGACCGGCATCACACTCCCAGAGCTCTTGCATGACTGAAATGAAGCTAATGAATTAGCACGCTTAATGCGGATCAGGGAGATGTATTCTCTCTGCCGTTGTTTGTCTCGAGCCGTGATTATAGTGCGAGAGGGAGAGCTTGTTTGTAATGCAGTAGAGCATGCCATTCTTTTTCTTTCTCACCATCTCTCTCTCTCTCATCTCCTCAGAGTGAAAGAAGGCTCTTGCTGAAGGCTAGCATGGGGCTAATTAGACTGGCTCACTTTTTAATTTGAGCAGATAAGTTCTCATAGGGGGTTCTGTGTGGCCCACCACACCAAAAGCAAAGCCATGCCTGAGGTTTTCAGTTTCCACAATTTCTCTTTCATTTCTCTTTCTTTCCATTGCCTTTTCCCCCTGGTCAGAGTTATGATTTTTCATTTTTCTTGTTCTGCCCTTATTATTTCTTTTCTCCCTTCATATTTCTTGCCGCTTTTTTCCTCTTTTATCCACCTCTACTCCAACCTACATCTGTACGATATCAAGATAATATACTTGGACTGCTGGCATAGAATTTTCAGTAGTAGAAACATCAACTTTTATACTGTAGTAAATATCCGTGCGGCTGTCCTGACTGCTTTGTTATCTGCACTTGAAAAATATGAGCAATTTGGAATAAATAAGGGCAAAGTAAAGAGGATGAACCTGAATTCAAAATTTTGCTGTTCATAATTGTGTGTTCTCTACTTTAAAGGGGCAGTATGAACAAATTTGATGTATTATTTGTGCTTTTATTGCCAATTTGTGTACAGCGTCTAGCAAAACTTTAAATACGAGATGATATTATAACGAATCGGGTTAAAATTGATGTCAATACAATGATATGCTCTGCACTATTTATTGATCTAAAAGCAGATCACACAGCAGAAATGTGCAACAATGGGAATATAGAAGTGTGTTGATATTAGAGAGGTACCAAATATTTGGCCACCGAAAATTTTGTCAGCTGAAAATATCTTATGCCTTTTAATGGACCCTCTAATTTTTGTGGCTTCAGTAATTGTTGGGATACTCTTTTAAATCTGGAGACATTAACAACTTATATTGAACTATATATCTTTATTGATTAATATGGAAAATAATTATCGAGACTGTAGTTTTGTCATATTGCCTAGCCCGAGACATTCTCTGACTTTCTAAAGTAGGTTGTCAATAAAAGCCTATAGATAGATTTTACCGTGAAGGACTCTTTTTTTTTTAAAAGAAAATCAAAAGAAATGAAACCTTTGTTTTTCCAGTAGTAGAAACATCAACTTTTAAACTGTTGTGAATATCTGTGCTGGTTGTCATGACTGCTTTGTTGTGTGCACTTGAAAAAAAATTAGCAATGTGGAATAAAAATGAGGGCGGAAGGTGAAGAGGATGAATCTGAATTCAAAGTTTTGCTGTTAATAAATGTGTATGCATTGCATTCTCTACCTTAAAGGGACAGTATGAACACATTTTATGTATTATTTCTGCTTTTATTGCCAATTTGTTTACAGCGTCTAGCAAAACTTAAAATACAAGACTAGGGATGGCCGATAAATGATATATTGAATCGTGATAAAGTTGATGTCAGTAACAATGATACCCTATGGACTTTTTTAACTCTATATTGATCTAAGAGCAGATCAAACAGCAGAAATGTGTAACAATGGGAATCTAAAAGTGTGTTGACTTTTGAGATGTACCGAATTTTTGGCCACCGAAAATATGTTATGCCATTTAATGGACCCTTTAATTTTTGTGGCTTCAGTCATTGTTGGGATACTCTTTTAAATCTGGAGACATTAACAACTTATATCGAAATTTATATTGTTATCATTCAATATGGAAAATAATTATCGAGATTGCAGTTTAGCCATATTGCCTAGCCCTATACGAGTCATTCTCTGACTTTCTACAGTATGTTGTCAATGAAAGCATATCGATAGATTTTTACGTGAAGGACTCAAAAGAAAATGAAAATAAATGAAAAGAAATGAAACCTTTGTTTTTCAGTAGTAGAAACATCAACTTTTACACTGTAGTTAATATCTGTGTGACTGTGGTTACTGCTTTGTTATTTGCACTTGAAAAAATGTGAGGAATGTGGAATAAATGAGGGCAAGGTGAAGAGGATGAACCTGAATTCAATGTTATGCTGTTTATAAATGTGTATGCATTCCTCTACTTAAAAGGGGCAGTATGAACAAATTTGATCTATTATTTCTACTTTTATTGCCATTTTGTGTGCATTTTGTGTGTAAAAAAACAAGACTAAGACTGAGCCGATAAACGATATTATATCGAATCGTGATAAAATTGATGTCAATAACAATGATAAGCTCTGGACTTTTTAAAATCTATATTGATCTAAGAGCCAATCACATGTCTAAATGTGTAACAATGGCAATCTAGAAGTGTGTTGATATTATAGATGTACCGAATTTTTGGCCACCGAAAACTTTGTCTGCTGAAAATAAGTTATGCCCTTTAATGGACGCCCCAATTTTTGTGGCTTCAGTCATTGTTGGGGTACTCTTTAAAATCTTGAAGCATTAACAACTTTTATCGAGATATATCATTATAGTTCGATATGGAAAATAATTATCGAGACTGCAGTTTTGCCATATCGCCTAGCTCTATACAAGAAATTCTCTGACTTTCTACAGTAGGTTGTCAATGAAAGCCTATAGAGAGATTTTTACAAGAAGACTCAATCAAAAGAAATGAAACCTTTGTGCTCACTCCTGACACATGAAACAACAATGTTCAAGATAATCCCAAAAGAGCTATTTTGTACTGCAATGCTGGGCACATTACAAAATAACTGTTTAGCAAGATATCACTGTTACTAGCTGTGTTTTAAGTTTAAATTTCACTCACCCTTAGCTGTAGCCTAAGCTGAAATGTTCACAGTCTTTTTCCTTCTTCATCTTCCTCAAAGGCTCTGCTTCACACACAGAATAAACTTCGTTCTCTGGTTCCCAATTTCACCTTCAACTTGGGATTCTCTGGCAAGTTTTTTCATACAGGTATGATGGAGCTAACGTTGTTTGAGTTACACACATAAAAAGAGCCCATCACCTCTGCTCATTGGTGGTTGTTTTTTTCTCATTCATGTTTCTTCTCTACAGGTACAGATGAAGAAGACGAGGGTGACGACACGCTGCTACGTCACCGGCAGGAGTTTTGGTGGTTTCCGCACATGTGGAGTCACATGCAGCCTCATCTCTTCCACAACGTCAGCGTGCTGGCAGAACAAATGAGACTTAATAGACAGTTTGCACAGGTCTGCCCTGATCAAGATCACTGTCCCTGCTGCACAAATGCATCAAGAATATTTAGTTACAACTTCTTGCTTATCAAATATATTTGATTCAAATACAAACGCTAGACAAAGAGGTGTATTTTGTTAAACTAGTCATTTGAAAATACAAAACTTACAAGCAATCATTTAAGATGCAGAACAGTTGCTTTATTCTTTTTTTGTATTTAAAACTAAAAACAAACGCAGAACAAAGTAATACTGATGCATGGATCAAACATACATGGGGCTTTTAACTATTTATTTTTACTCAAAGTTGCAATAGGTGATTGTCTTTAGAAACTATTTTTGTTATGCTGGTTGTGAGTCTCTTCACATCCTGATAGCAATTATTAAGTTAAGGTTCAAATGTATTTATATGTATTTTAATAATCTGTGGAAGATGTAAGACAAAGAAAAGTTTGTTCAATCAAAATGTTCGGTTCGAACACTATGATAGACTGTTCTACCTGTCTGTCAAAAAGAGAAAGGCAGAAAAACATCAACAACCCAAGGGTGTACTCACACTAGGCACAGTTACCCTAAACCATGCTTGGGTGTGATTGTCCCCTCTCCCCCTCGGCCTACACTGCAATTTTACTTTCCGCGCCTGAGCATGCTTACATCATCGATGATGCAACTGTTCACAGAAGTTCTGGCTCAGTACAGTGGAGATTGCTTTAGTAGTTATATTGTTTTGTATTATTTTAAGTCATTTGGGATGCAATGACACAGTCAAATATATTACTGAACACATCCACCACTTTTGACGCTTGAAAATATTCTTGAAAGTAATCGTCCTGCAGGTAAAAGGAGGTTTGCTGAAGGTGAAAGCTTCCAACCGGGCCGGGGCCTGTCATACAAAACGAGCCTGGGTGCGATTCGGAGCATTCACACTTGTCAACAAACTGGGCACAGTTCGGATAGCCTAGTGTGAGTACACCCTAAGCCAGGGGTGCTCAACCCTGTTCATAGAGATCTACCCTCCAACAGAGTTCAGCTCCAACCCTGATCAAACACACCTGTACCAATTAATCAGGACCTGAACAGCACTTGATAATTACAGGCAGGTGTGTTTAATATGGGATGCACCTGAAATATACAGGAACAGGGTTGAGCACACCTGCCCTAAGTAATGTTATTGTAGTGATGATATCTATTGCGCTTGCATGCATTCAGAAATCATTTTCATTGCTATCAAGCTAACAATAGCATTTTCCAAGATCTCCTTTAAGACATGAACAGCTGCATTACATAGCGAAGCGACTAAGCTAATATATGCTGCATGAAGCATCTCCAGATGTAGGATACAGTACATTATAGCAGTTTCTACTGCAGTGAGTTTTTGAAAGATGACAACACAGAGTAAAGCATCTATCTTGGAATTTAAGAATCGATTAAATAAAATGTTATTTACTAAAAATTGTTAACCTGCATCTCAAAAGGCCACAAATACTTAGACATTTACACCTCTAGTTTATACATGCCACACAAGGATTGGATTTATCCTGCTTATAGAATAATTGCAGGTTGTGTGTTTCAGGAGCATGGGATCCCCACAGACATGGGTTACGCTGTAGCCCCACATCACTCAGGTGTGTATCCTGTGCACAGTCAGCTTTATGAGGCCTGGAAGAGTGTTTGGGGCATCAAGGTGACGAGCACAGAGGAATATCCTCATCTCAGGCCTGCCCGCTACCGCAGGGGCTTCATACACAATGGCATACAGGTAGGTTTGCCTAACCTTAAAAGGACAGTTTACCCAAAACTGAAAATTCTGTCATCATTTACTCATTATTTACAAATGTGTTTGAGTTTCTTACTTCTGTTGAACACACGAGAAGATATTTAGATGAATGACGAAAACCTGCAATCATTGTCTTCCTACTATGGTAGTCAATTGTTACGGGTTTCTGACATTTTTCAAATGATCTTTTTTGTGTTCAACAGAAGACAAAATCTCTGGTGTGGAACCACTTGAGGGTGACTAAATAGTGAGCAAATTTACACTTTTGGGTGTCGATCCCTGTTATTAATACATGATGTTAGTTTGTCTGAATACAAAGCAAAGATATTTTAATATTTTTATTAAATTATTTATTTTTGCATATTAAAAATAGTTAATTTATTATCTGTTAAGCATTAACTTACATTAATAGACGTTAGTAAGCACTTTACAAATACAATGCTGTATTTTTTACTTATAAGCACATTTATAATGTTACTTATAATTACTATATGATTATATAATTACTGTAATAATTGTAATTTCATACTTTATTACTGATTAATTGTTTATTACTAAATTCAGTATTGCATTTTTTACAAACCATTTGTAAATAAGAGTAGTTAAGGGCTTTTAGAATCATTCAGAATGAGTTAGTAAACAATTAATAAACTATTCAAATCAACATTTATATATTTTATTATTCAGGCATATACTATGTATGTTAATAAATGCTTTATTAACTCAACTTCATGCAGTTTTTTGAAATAATCGAAGTGAGGACTATTTATGCTTTATACTCACTTATAAATGACAATTAAAGGCTCAGTATCGAATGAACAATAAATGTTTGCAATCTTATCTAAAATAAAAATAAGATTGCTGTAAACTTTAAACATTGATGAATAACAGGAGTGTCAAAATACAATTAGAAATAAATACAATTAAATAAAAATGGATAAAACAATGACAATATAATAATTTACAATATATTATGAAACATCATTTCAATGTTATTTAGCGATGGTTTAACTGCAAATTAATTTTATTTTACATAAGATTGCAAAGATTTATTTTCATTTGATTCAGTTTCATTTGTCTTTCTTTAAATAAATAGAAATTAATAGTCATTTATTTCCCCCTTTTCCTGTCTACAATATAACTGAGCCTTTAATTGTTATTCATTGGGGATTTATAAAACATACATTGTCCACACTTTACTTATTCTTATTTATCTTAAAATAACATCAACTATTCTTAAATAAGTAGTTTGTAAATAATGCAATACTTTAATCATTAACAAAGTATGAAAATACCATTATTAAGCACATTATAAAGTGTTTGTAGCTGTATTTCTAAACTGCTTACTAACATCTATTAATGTTGGGTTAATACTTAACAGATAAGGAATTAACTATTTGCTAATGCTTAGATGATTCATAGTGTGTAGTTATTATAAAGTGTTACCAAATTTTTTAAAAGCATAATACAACATTAATATGTTAAAATTAGTACAGATCTCTATACTTTATAACAAATTAATTACACCACATTAAGACAGTTGTTTTTTTTTATTACAGATTTGATGAAATCTTTAAATAATGCATTATCTAGTATATGTAACTAATTATTAGTAACTAATCGGTTTAATGAAATCTGAAATTATTTAATTATTTTTGTATCTTTTCTTTCCATTAATTTGATATTCTGAATGTAAAATGGCCAGTAAAAATGACCATTGAAAAACAACAGTTTTGCCTGTTATGTTTTGCCTTAAATGAGGGTAACGATTTTGAACATGAACATGAACATATTAAGTAATGAACATAATCCTAAATTAGCATGAACTACTCAAATGCTGTAGAATCAAGTTCTCTTTCAAGTTACCAAAACTGTTAAGATTTCTGACCAATATGTTGTTTATGTTTTTGTACATCAGGTTCTCCCCCGGCAGACCTGTGGGCTTTTCACACACACCATCTTCTATAAGGATTATCCTGGTGGCCCTCAGGAGCTGGACAAAAGCATTCGTGGAGGGGAGCTGTTTCTCACAGTGCTGCTCAATCCGGTTAGTCTCACACCCACAGAAAACTCCTAACTCAAATGCAGTCGACGCCTACAGTAATTCTGCAATATGACAAATGTCTCTTTTTGAGTAGGTTAGTATATTCATGACTCACCTGTCTAACTATGGCAATGACCGGCTGGGTCTGTACACCTTCGAGTCGCTGGTGAGGTTTGTGCAGTGCTGGACTCACCTGCGCCTGCAGACGCTTCCTCCTGTCAGACTCGCTCACAAATACTTCCAGATTTTCCCTGATGAGAGAGACCCCTTGTGGCAGGTTTGTGCAAGTACATTTTTGTGATTTATTATTGCTGGAGCTTTTGTTATAGGGTGAATCTCGCAAATGTACTCATAAATATGGGACAAAGATGCATTTTGTTTTTATGAAAGATGAATTTTATTTTTTAAAATTAGGATGTGTCCAGTTAAATGGTCTTAATCATACAGTTTTACGTGATTTAGTCAACCATTAAAATGTATTTCTTGTTGCAATATTTATTCTATACTTTGACACTATTATTTATTATTTGTTAGCAAGAAAATAGTAAATATTATAATAGACATTATTTAAAATGTATTCAAATTTAGTTTAATCAGTCATTGTTTTATATATGTTAATAATCACAACTCATCACAACAATAAGTATGTGTGTTTGTAGTTTTTGTCAGCCCTCCCCTTTGTCTACATTTGGTACTAATACTAACATAAAAGTAAAGTCCTATACTTTAATACATTATAAATAATTATTGTTGAATTCTTAAAAATAATAACATATTTAGTAGTTTTATATTGTAGAAGGGCCTATTAAACCTTTTATTTTAAATGAATGCATAAACTTACCGGCCACTTTATTAGGTACACTTGTCTAACTGCTCGTTAACGCAAATTTCTAATCAGCCAATCACATGGCAGCAACTTAATGCATTAAGGCTGGTATGAGTAATTCAGAAACTGCTGATCTACTGGGATTTCCATGGAAAACCATCTCTAGGGTTTACAGAGAATTATCAGAAAAGAGAAAATATCCAGTGAGCACCAGTTTTGTGGGCACAAATGCCTTGTTGATGCCAGAAGTCAGAGGAAAATGGCCAGACTGGTACCAGCTGATAGAAAAGCAACAGTAACCCAAATAACCCCTCGTTACAACCGAGGTATGCAAAAGAGCTTCTCTGAACACACAACATGTCCAACATTGAGGCAGATGAGCTACAGCAGCAGAAGACCATACCTGGTGCCACTCCTGTCAGCTAAGAACAGGAAACTGAGGCTACAATTCACACAGACTCACCAAAATTGGACAATAAAAGATTGGAAAAACCTTGCCTGGTCTAATGAGTCTTGATTTTTGCTGTGACATTTGAATGGTAGGGTCAGAATTTGGCATCAATAACATGAAAGCAAGGATCCATCCTGCCTCGTATCAGCGGTTCAGGCTGGTGGTGGTGTAATGGTGTGTGGAATATTTTCTTGGCACATTTTGGGCCCATTAGTACAAATTGAGCCTTGTGTCAATGTCACAACCTACCCGAGTATTGTTGCTGACCATGTCCAGCCCTTTATGACCACAGTGTACCCATCTTCTGATGTCTACTTCCATCAGGATAACACACCATGTCGTAAAGTGCAAATAATCTCAGACTGGTTTCTTGAACATTCAAAGAGTTCACTGTACTCAAATGGCCTCCACAGTCACCATTTCTCAATCCAATAGAGGACCTTTGGGATGTGGTGGAACGGGAGATTCAAATCATGGATGTGCAGTCGACAAATCTGCAGCAACTGTGATGCTATCAGGTCAATATAGACCAAAATCTCTGAGGAACGTTTTCAGCACCTTGTTAAATCTATGCCACAAAGAATTAAGGCCGTTCTCAAGGCATAATAGGGTTTAACCCAGTACTTGTGAGGTGTACCTAATAAAGTGGCCAGTTAACAACTGCCAGAAAACAACACCTAAATTGCAATCAATGTTTTCATGTTTAGATAATGAACAGCAGAACTTAATTTAGTTTTAATTACAGGTGATTCACATTTGTCTCATATTCATTTATGCTCGCATTATACTCACAAATACTCCCCCGATGAACAGAATCCATGTCACGACAAGAGACACAAAGACATCTGGTCCAAAGAGAAGACCTGCGACAGACTGCCCAAATTCCTAGTGATTGGGCCACAGAAGACCGGTAACACTAAATTAATACTACGATTTGTTTTAAGCCATTTAAACCGTAAGGATCTTAAATGCTGTTTAATAATTAATGCTCTATGATGTAGAGCCCTTCATTTGGCATTTAAATCATACAACATAATGTTTCCAGGAAATGAGATGAATATTTGATGAAACCATCTGAATGCTGTGCTTTATTCTGCGGTCATGCTCTTTGTATAGGAACTACAGCCCTGCACTCGTTTCTCTCTCTTCATCCTGCCATCAGCAGCAGTTACCCCAGCCCCATCACTTTTGAGGAGGTGCAGTTCTTCAGCGGACCAAACTACCAGCGCGGCATCGACTGGTAACCATGGCAACTGCATTCAGGCCTCATTTTGTTTGTTTTCTAACTTAGATGCCAGTTTAATTCAAGAACTCATTTTTGGATCAGGCTTAATCCATCAAACTATTGGCATCATTTAACCTTTGAATGCATGATTTTGTTTTATAAAGACTTACATTTAAATCTCTAATTCAAAAGAATTGTGGTTTTGTTTTAAACTGATTAGATTAGTTGTATTGCAAGGAATATGAAACAGTGGTCAAACAGTAACTATAAATTTTCTTAGACTTTTTATTAACTTTTAGTTTTCAAAAATTTCCCAAACTATGTTTCACCAGAATGGACCACACCACACCTTGAGCTAGACTTTATTGTAGGCATGGTAAGCAGGGTGTGAATTACAGCGGTGTTTGGGGAGGTTTGACCCAGGGTGAGAGTTAGACATTTTCAATCAGTGGGGTCAACTTTTTTAGCAGTAGTTTGCTAATACATGCTTTAGTGAATCAAATTTATGAATGTATTTAAACTACATCTCATTTAATAATATAAATGTATACGTTTCAGTGTTTTGATGGATATTTAGTGACTATGTTAGAGGTTACTGTAGGTAAAACTATACAAATTATGTGTCTACATTTTCTTTTTTTTAAGGCTACATGCAGATATAAACACCTATTTTAGAAGAAACGTGTTTTGTGAATACTTAAGATGTCTGTCTGTGCTCTAGAACTGCCAGTTTTAAACTGTTGAATCATATTTTTCCACACATTGATTGGCGCAATTATGCATTCACAATGGTATGAACCATTATAAGAGGGTCAAATGTATATTTATATTATACATTTGTAATTATTAATATTTAAGATATATAATATTAAGAGACATCTATGTCTATCGGTGTAGATTGATTGACGCGATTATGCATTCACAATGGTATAATCCATTATAGGTGTGGTCAAATATATGTTTATATTATCTATGATTTTAATTAGTAACATTATTATTTAAGATGCATCTCAGAAAACTATATCTTACTATTAAAGGGCTGACCCCCTCATACATCTTGTTTTGATGTCCTTCAAGGGGGATCAAACGTTAATTAGGGGGGTCAATCCCCCCCCAAACCCCCCTGTAATTTGTACCTTGGGTTGACCCTCCTAATTAATGCTTGATCTCCCCTGAATGACATCAAAACAATATTTATGGGGGGGTCAGCCCTTTAATACTGAGAAATAGTTTACTCTGATCTGCATCTTAAATAATAATGTTACTAATTAAAATCATAGATAATATAAACATATATTTGACCACACCTATAATGGATTATACCATTGTGAATGCATAATCGCATCAATCAATCTACGCCGATAGACATGATGTTCACCCTTTTCTTGTAAAGTAGGTGTTTGTTTCTACATATATCCTAAACATAAAATTTGCTGCATAGTTTGTATAGTTTGACCTATGTAACCTTTGAAAAAGCTAATCCGAGGATACTTTAGGTCAGAAAACACGAAATATCTCACAAAACACTGAAAACCTAAAAATGTTTAATTAATAAAAAATGTCATTTAAATAAATAAATTGAACTGACTATTACACAAAATAACATTAATATTAAATTAGCTATTAAAACTATTATGTTTAGAAATGTCGAAAATATATTTGTTTCAGTTAAGCAGAAATTAGGGAAAAAATATAAAGGGGGAAAAAATATACAGACTTCAACTGTATATATTTTTGATTTTGGACCAGAATGGACCAGGTATTTGATTTGTTTTTGATTCACAGTGTAGACTCACTCTTTCTTTCTTTCCTCAGGTATATGGATTTTTTCCCTGTACCTTCGAATGTAAGCACAGACTTCTTGTTTGAGAAGAGCGCCAACTACTTTGACACCGAAACCGCCCCGAAGAGAGCAGCTGCCCTGCTACCAAGAGCCAAAATCATCTCTATTCTTATCAACCCTGCTGACCGGGCATATTCCTGGTACCAGGTGCGTTTATATTTCCAACATGCATTTTCTTTTCTTTTTTTGTAATATTTATTGTATTTTAAATTTCCACTCAGATAATACAGAAGTAAAAATAACATCAAAACAAAAAAACATCAATTATTGTAACGTTTTATTTTACCGTCTTTTATTCAACAATCATCACATTTCCAACTCTGCCACATTTTAGGAAAAAATTAAAGGTCCCCAAACCCCCTTAAAGACCTTTTTTTTTAATCTAAAATTGATCTTTAAATATATAGGTTATCTTCCATTGTCATGTTTGTAACCATGTCCTTCAGCCACCATCCTATATTTAGTGTGCCACCAACCTGAAGTCACCAATTAGGATATGTTCCTAGATTAACATCTATGTTGATCCTGGAACAAAATTCCAATCAGCCAATCAGAATTAAGGGATAAGTTTACAGATTTTGTTAAAATTAGGCTTACGATTAAGTTCATGCAGTTCTACATGATTGTTATCCGACTATTATTCCCTTCTGATTTTGGGAGTGATTTACAGTTATGGTTGGGTGTAGGGGTAGAGAGTAGGTGTGGATTACATTTTCCAACAAAAATTATGTTCCAGGATCAACATAGATGATAATTCAGGATCTCATCGAACTTTATGACGAATCAGGCAATATCATGACATGCTTATTGTACACACATTTTTCCAATTTCCAAAAGATAATCAGTTTACCTTGAAGAATACAAATATTTATAAATATATATTCAGTCTTTTTAATCCTCATTTCCTCAGGGTATAAATGTAATTTTAAAAATCAGAGGTAACAGCGAATTATCAACACATAGTATCTTCTCTATCATCCCTTTCACTCCTTTGCAAAGAGGTCTAATTTTTCCACACTCCATATAGGCATTGATATCCCAATTTGCGCATCCACAATAGTCACATAGCAAGATATGCAATGTTTTGTCTGAAATATAGTTGACCAGGAACCACAAATTTCTATTTAATCCCTGTATTTATATGGGATTTATATGATTTACAGAAGAAAAAAAAATTACATAGAATTTTTGTCTTGTTTCTAGTCTAAATATCTGCATTTCATAGCTTGTTCTAAGCAAAAACTCTTCATTTTCACTTATTTCTTCTGACGGTGAAAACTAAACAATATATATATATTTTTTTACATATATTTTAATCTTTATTTTTAGAATCTTTTTGATATTTGGACAAAAAATTAGACAAATTCTGCACAGAAAAAGTGACGCACTCACACACACATAACAGAAGCCTGCACCCTCCCATTCGTGCCTCCAATAGATGGAGAAATTCTTGCTACAGTAGATGGAGAAAGCAGCGCAGCCTAAAAGAAAGAGTTGTAACATTTTGCTGATAACAAACTGAACTTCTTGGTTATCGGTCACATGAAGCCACAGCTGTTATGAAGCAAGGTCATATGAGGTTAAGCACACAAACATGTTAATATATTTGATTAAAACATGATTTAATTATTAATGCATAAAACAAAGTTAGAATACATCATAATTCCTTCACCCACTTAAGCAATGTTTGTTTTTGATTTCTACAGAACAAAGTGAAAAAAAAAAAGTTTTGCATTGTGATTATTTAATCTCTGTATCTAAATACCCCAGAAAACCTCAAATAGTGCTATTCAAACCATCTTGTGAAGCTGTAGTCATATTGCAATATTTAACGCAGAAAAATAAAGTATCATAACAGATTTTTTTTCCAAAATTGTGCAGCCGTTCTCCCATTGGCAATGATATAATGTACATTTAAACTCATTGCATCTTATACAGATGTCCGTCCAGAATGTTTTTATTATATGTATACAATACCACTGAACACATGCATTTTCTGTGATATAAAATGACAAATTTCAGAATCTTGACTACTAGTGAATGTACGCTAAACAACTTCCACTGAGACGTACAGGACTTATTAAGTAGCAGCACGTGAGCTGAAAATAGTTTAATCCGTCTGCCGTCTCTCTGTCTCCAGCATCAGAGGGCTCATCAGGACCCTGTGGCGCTGAACCACACATTTGATGAGGTGGTTTCTGCTGCTCCGTCATCTCCTGCAAGCCTGCTGTCTCTGCACCGTCGCTGCCTGCAGCCTGGAGCCTACAGCAGCCATCTGGAGCGCTGGCTACACCACTACCAGCCCAGCCAGGTGTGTTTGTACGCCACTTTAATAGCTATTACTCCACTGTTATGCATACAATAGATCTGTGTGTCTTAAAAGAGTTTTTGATTGATGCAGAGACTTTGAAACATGCCAAAACAGACTATATATGAGCAGCACACACAAAGCACAAATAAAAGCTGACTTTTTGTGTTTACCCTAATTTTACATCTATTTCCTAAAGCAGAAAGCAGGCAAAATAATGTTAAAATGTAACTTTTTCCTATAACTGCAGTGCTGAATTTTCAGCAGGAATTACTTTAATGTCTTTTAATAATCTTTCATGATGAAAAGGGAAGAGCTGCTTATTTTTTTTAACAAAATTTATTTTTTTACGATCCTTAATGTACTGTAAAGTTTAAAAGAACAGCATCTATTCGATTAATAAGATTAATCAAAGATCGTTTGGATCTTTATAAATGTATTTGCAGTAGTCACTATTTTATGATATTTAAATTTCACATACTTTTGCTGAGTAAAAGTTTTTTTTTTTTTAAATTCTTTAAAAACAACAACAACAACAATTATGTATAAAAATAAAATGTTTAAAATGTTTTTGGATTTGAGAGATGATGTTGATTTACAGAATATTCCCCAGGACTTAATTGTATATGTGAATCTTAGCTTCGTTTAGCTTACTTTTTTTTCTTCTTTTGAATAATTTTAAGTTGTTTAAAACCCTCCATGGTTGAGAATTACTGTTTTCAGTGATTTAATTACTCTGTTTACTGTTTTTTTTTTTTTTTTTTGTTTGTTTCACAACTCAGGCTCATTGCAAATATGTCCCTCAGCCTACATTTTTGTGAAATGTATAATATGTTACTCCTGGTATATTTTGTTAAATATTTCAGATGATAAATCCACTAGAGGGTGCTGTCTACATTTTTGTGAATTTAAAATGTGTTAATTAGGGTACATTTTATTGTACGTTTCAAACACATAATCTACTTATCCACATCCACATCAATTATTTAGAAGCGGATTTTACGTTATGTCTCAAAAAACAAAAAACATAGCATAAGTTAATGCGTTTTATTTAAAGTAGACTATTTATTAAGAAATGTAACTGTATATAAAATGGGCCTAGTGGTTAGAACATCTCTGCAGTAGTTTGAATGTGTCAAATTGTAAAAGTAAACTTTTCAAAAAAAAAAAAAATATATATATATATAATAATTATTATTATTGGTATTAAATAGGATTTTATCATAGGAAATATCCTATTGGGCCTACAACCATTAACGGTTTATATGATTTATATATGAGATTATAATACGTGTTAGCTTAGTGATTTGATATGGAATATTCACAATAATATTTGTAAAGGAAACATATATAGGTCTTAAATGTGCTGTTTACATGTATTTCAATTAATATGGCAAATGAGTGCATGTTTTTATCAAAACTAATATTGGATTTTTGTGCATGAGTGTAAAGCAATATCATTTGCACAAAAATGATGGGGTTTTCTCTAAAGAAGTAGTTACTCCACCCCGTTTAGAGCGTTATTGTGGACATTTTACATTATAACTAACGTGGTTCAAATGATGGATCTGCGACAGAGAAACTACGGTTTTGGGAAGCACTCATCACTACATCATTCTTTTCTCGATAACGATACTATGATAGGTCAGCCACGAGTAATATCGTTGTTTGGGAAGCGCACTCCAGAATGACTACTGTACATCAGAAAAGCTGGAATAAAATAAGTGAGGCTGCTGTTGTTGATAATGTCTCTGTAAATGCTAATTAACAATAGTTTACATCATTTTACCTCAAAACTGCAGTCAAACTTATTGGTTTCACAAAAATGTAGACAGAACCACGTGTTTCTAACGTGCCTATTTTGTTTTTTTTATTATGTTATGAAAAAAAAACTGAAAACCTTGTAATGAATGTGCACACACATACACAAAATGTTTCCCAATCACAGCTCATTGACAGACAGCAGCAGACACTACATTGGGTTTTGAAAGGTATCCTAGTCTGTGTCTGTTGGCATCTGTCAGAGCTTGCCTTTTGCCAATTAAACATGCGGAATTGGCTCATGCTGGTGCTGTAATGTCTATAAAGCCGTGCTGTAAACTGTTGACAGTCTGTGTGTGCATTGTGAATTGGGCTTTAGTGTACCTGCACTGGTTCCGGATTGTCCTATATAATGTGAGCAGGTGTGTTAAGTTGTTTCAGTGTGTGTGTTTGATGTGTGTTTTATGGTGTGAGCAGCTGCTGATTGTGGATGGTGTGCAGCTGCGCTCCGGTCCTGCTCAGGTGATGGATGCTATTCAGAAGTTCCTGGGAGTCACACCGTACTTCAACTACACACAGGCTCTGATGTATGAGAACTAGTTACTGAACACTTTCACACTCGCACGAAATGTAGTTCAAAACTCATAGTTCCACTTGTAAAGGCTATTTTATTTCATTTTGATTTCTAAAAAAAAGGTACATTTGTTAAAGGGATAGTTCACCCAAACATTAACATTCTGTCATTGTTTACTTTTTTTGTTTTAAACATTTATGAGTTTCTTTCTTCTATTAAACAAACTGTTTCATTTTCTTCTGTTACCAAAATGAATCTATTTTGAAGAAAGTTGGAAATTAACTATTGAGTTCCATAGTTTTTGTTTTTTTTCTATTTGAATGTCAATGGTTACAGGTTTTCAGCATTCTTCAAAATATCTTCTTTTGTGGTCCTAAGGGATATAATCCTGCCAAATGTTTCACAGTCATGGGTAGAAAAATAATAACGCCCCATTCCATGGGGCTTCAGCGTCAACGCTTGACAGAGGGCGTGTCTGAAGTTGAGGCTGACACGATCGTCATAGCAGCGTCAGCCAATGAAATTAGTCCGCAATCGTCTACTGTCTGAGCTGGTGTATTTGCATACAGCGGTCTGATTGACTGACGCTTCAGATGGCGCTTGAAAAGTTGAGCAAGTCCCAACTTCTGCAGCGAGCAATGCCACTGAAGTGGCGCCGACAGATCGATAATGCAGTTCGGCAACGCTTGACATTACCCATTCAAAGTGAATGGGAATCGTTGAAGCTGACGCCCCGTGTGAATGGGGTGTAAGCTCATAGCTCAAAACTCACACTTCCACTTTTAAAGAAGTGGAAGTTACACTTGTTAAAGGGATAGTTCACCCAAAACTGAATATTCTGTCATTGATTACTTTTCTTGTTTCAAACCTTTGAGTTTCTATCTTCTATGAAAAACAAAATAAATCTGTTTTGAAGAAAGTTGGAAACCCGTAACAATTGACTTCCATAGTATTTGTTTCTCCTATTTGGAAGTCAATGGTTAAAGGTTTTTAGCATTCTTCAAAATATTTTCTTTTGTATTCCATGGAATCAAAATCCTGCCAAATGTATAGCGGATCGAAAAATAATAAGACTCATCGTTCAAAACGCATAGTTCTGCTTGTAAAGTCTATTTTATTTAATGTAGATTTCTAAAACTTGTTAAAGGGAAAGTTCACCCAAAAATGAATATTCTGTCATTGTTTACTTACCCTTTACTTGTTTCAAACCTTTGAGTTTCTTTCTTCTATTAAACACAAAAATTTATCTGTATTAAAAAAAGTTAGAAACCCGTAACCATGAACTTCCATAGTATGTTTTTCCTATTTGGAAGTCAATGGTTACAGGTTTCAGCATTCTTCAAAATATCTTCTTTGTGTTCTATGGGATCAAAATCCCACCCAAATGTATTGTGGTCGCGGATTGAAATACAATAAGCATAAATCAAATAATTGACATTGCATGTGAAATCATAGCGCTCAAAAACTAAATGCAGAATAAGAAACAGGTCATGTAATTAAAAAAGGAAAATGCGTTTAGAATTGCATTGCACAACACTGAAACATGAATTCAAAGTTTTCCTAATTGCAAACAAATTCAGTTTTTAGCTAATTTTTCTAATGTTTTGTATGCTTTACGGTCTTTCACTCTCGATCCCACATTCTGTGCTTGCGTCTCTGAAAGTTATTTAAATCACAGGCGGGTTTCAGCGTCATCATTGGTGTACTAGTCGAGATTGACAGTTGCTCCTCTAGCCAATCAGACAAAGGGGGAGCAGACATCACTTGACGTGTTTCTTATTTGCTATTTAGTTTTTGCTTTTGAGCATTGTGCTTTTAAACGTGATGTAATTTTTTGATCCACACTTTTTTTTTCATTGGATTTTTATAGGATTTTGATCCAATAGTGATCAACAAAAAAAAAAAAGAAACTGAATCGTTTGAAGGAGAGTAAATAGTGAGTAGATTTTCATTTTTGGGTGAGCTATCCCCTTAAAATGTTACATTTATTTTGTTAGAAAATAACAAGCAAAGTAGCATCTGCTAACAAATGATGCTTGAGATTTTGTCAAACCTTTTTTAAAGGGACAGCCTCAAAATAAAAATGTGGTCTTAAAGCAGTGTTCACCAAAACTTATTCCTGGAGGGCCGGCTTCCTGCAGATTTTAGCTCCAACCCTAATCAAACACACCTAAACAAGCTAATCAAGGTGATACTGGGTATATTTGAAACACCCTGGCAGGTGTGTTGAAGCAAGTTGGAGCTAAACCCTACAGAGACACCGGCCCTCCGGGACCGAGATTGGTGACCACTGTCTTATAGTAAACACAGAATATAAACACAAAGAAAGTCATTTCCCTAACCATTGAGTTTACTCATCCAGGATGTAGTTAGTATTTTTCTTTAGTAAAACATTAAAGGCAATTAAGTAAATTCATGTTTGTTTGTTCTTTTGAGTCATTTTGAGAGTCAAAAAGCACACAGTATACAGGTAAAAGTCAATGAAATATACATGGCTCGTAATGATACAATGAGGACTCATGAAGCCTCATTAATATGAACATTATTTAACATGCAAATGGTTCTGAACATGCTTATGATGACTGAAGAACTTCCAGTCACACAATGTATATCAGACATTGAGTCTGTAAAAAGTTTCTTTCACACACTGATCTTTTTGCTTCATATTACTTCAAGGTATTATCAGTAATTTAGTTTTCCCTGTGCATGTTTGTTTGACTCTCAAGCTGACTTTTAGCAGCAATTAGTGAAGTATTAAGCTAATGTTCTACTGAAGAAAAAGTCAATCACATCTTGACCTCAGAGTCAGTGTGCAATTATTTTACAACCACTTGTTGTTTTGTTATATAATGTCGTTAAATGAATGCAACTTTATTCTTTTAATGCAGAAATGTTATTCCTTAAAAAAATGCATTATTACTATTATAGAAGTAACCTCTGCTCTCTATTTAAAGGTTTGATGAGAGTAAAGGTTTCTGGTGTCAGAAACTAGAGGCAGGACGCTCTCGCTGTCTGGGAAAAAGCAAAGGAAGGAAATATCCCGACATGAGCCTTGAGGTACATCTCACTTCTCAGCATCAGATCTCCAGATATGAATAGCATTTCAGATATAGCAAGTGAAATTTGAGTAATCTTTTCCTCTCTGTAATTGATTGCACATTTGAGAAAGCTGTTTTAATCTCTATGTTGTGTTTGAAATCAAGTGAGAATAGAGAAAAATAGATTAAAGTGCAGTTAAAACTGTTCACTGATCAGTTAGTTGCAGCATTAGGTCACATCATGACCAGTCTAATAAACACTAAAACAAGTTTTTCCTGGGTGATTAGAATTTTCTTTTTAATTTTTAATTGTTTTTATTTATACGCTTTTTCAATATAATTGAATAATAGCCGTCTCTGACACTTTAGAGAAATATAAATCCTCAGAAACTTTTTTTTTTTTCTTGTTTTTGGTAAAATGGTTGAAATTGCGATAATAATTGTACAAAATGTAAAACGTGTTGTTGGTATCCACATTTCATCTTTTGTTATTTCTTTTTGACCTGTCTAAATGAAACAATTTGATGTATAACTTTTTATTTTTATTTGTTTGCCATTAATTTAAAATGTTTTTGTCATATTTTTGGCTTATCTTAAACTTTTTGCTGGATTTTATTTTGAATTAGAATTGTAACCTTTTACCTTTTGTTTTATATTTTAATCATCATAAAATGTTTAATTTTAATTGATCTTAACCTCTAAAAAATATTAATTATTAAACTTACCCGAGATTTTAACTTAAGCTTATTTTGAATCTTTTTGTCTCATAATTTAAATTTTTAACATTTTGATGTTTTAGTTCTTAATTTTATATATTTTTCTTCTACAGTTCTGACTTTCTATTTCTTAAGTTTTGAATGTACTGTTTATATCTAAATTATTACTTGTCTCAGCCTTTATACCATCTTATTTTTATTTTAGGTCACATTTATTTTTACCAACTTATTTTTATTTTCAGTCAATTTTTTTTCTACTTTTTACCATCTTATTTTTATTTAGGTCACATTTATTTTTACCATCTTATTTTTATTTTAAAAAACTTTTTTTACCATCTATTTTTATTTAAATTTATTTTTTCACCATCTTATTTTTTATTTTAAATAACTTTTTTTTCACCATCTTATTTTTTTTTAATCATTTTTCTTTTTTTTCCCCTTTGACTTTGAAGTCAAAACATATGCAGAATGATGTTTTTTTAACCTAAGTATCTTGACTCTCATAATGTCAACTTTATATATTAGAATTATGGCATCCTTATTTCATTTTCTGCATAATTTTGACTCAGAACTGAGATAACTGAAACTATTATTTTCAAAAGCATGACTTAGAATTGTATATGTGCATCTAACTATCATTATTTATTTATTTTGTGTCCTAACTCACAGTCCAGGGCATTTCTGTCCGAGTATTACCGTGAGCAGAACGTGGAGTTACTCAGAATGCTGAAACGTCTGGGTCAACCTCTGCCCGTCTGGCTCAGAGATGAACTGCACAATGCCAGTTGGAGCTGAGAAACACCAACAGTAGCAGGAGACGCACGGCAGTACCACGCTGCTCCTCACAGGAGAACTCGGGGCCCATGTGTGGCAGGTGCCAAAAGAGGACCGACCGGCTCGCCCTCCAATAATCCACACGGCCTCTGACCCAACAGACGGCCCGATGGCGCTGTCACAGTCTGAACGAAGCCCTCCGAGTCAGACGAGAAGCTTCTCAGCCGATGTTCATGAAAACACGGATATGGAAATGGGAACGACCTCATTAAAAAGACTTCCAGAGTCCATTATGAAACGGCTGTTTTAAATGCAAATATAGTCTTCTAGGAAGAGAAAGTGAGCGTCGCACTGAACCTCTAGGAGATTGAGGACATTTTGTGGAAATACCCTTGAAAGCGAGGGACTTGAGAGGATTATTTAAATTCTATTCTCAAAAAAATCTTTAACTCTGCCAAGCAGGGAACTATTTAAATGTCTCATTATTGTCAGCCATCTTGCTGCCTTTTCCAAAACATTTGCTGTTGAAGTGATTTTCGATTGAAGTCGACAAACATTGTGCAGTCCAAGAAGCTATAAGGAGTATAAGATCATACATGTGGCATAGCACACTTTGTTTTATTTATTAGATTTTTGTATTAAATGAACCAGGCAAAAGTTTCTTTATTAATGGTATAGTTCACCCAAAAATGAATATTTACCTATTTACTCACCCTAAAGTAGTTATAAACCTTTAAGAGTTTCCTTTTTCTGTTGGACACAAAAGAAAGATATTTTAAAAAATGTTAGAGCTCTGTAACCATTGACTACCATAGTAGGAAAAACAAACAACACATGAAGATATTTTTTCAAAATGTTAAAACTCTGTAACCATAATTTACAATAGTAGGAAAAACAAATAAAACAAAAGATGATATTTAAAAAAATATATTAGAACTCTGTAACCATTGGCATCCATAATAAGAAAAAACAAATAACAACACAGAGGATATTAAAGAATGTCAGAACTCTGTTTTTCCTATCATGGTAGTCACTGGTTACAGAGTTCTAGCATTTTTTTTTTTTTAAATCTTCTTTTGTATTGTGTTTTAACCATTTACTACCATAATAGGAAAAACAAACACAACATGGAGATATTTTAAAAAATGTTAGAACTCTTTTTGACAGTAGTTGTAAGATTTTTTTTAATGTAATCTTTTGTGTTGTTTGTTTTTCCTAGTCACTGGTTACAGAGTTCTTAAATTTTTTTTAAATATCTTTTTTTATGTTGTATTTGTAACCATTGACTACCATGGTAGAAAAAAACAACAACAAAAAAGAAGATATTTAATTAAAAATGTTGGAACTCTGTAACCATTGACTACAATAGTAGGAAAACCAAACACAACACAAAAGAAGATATTTTAAATAATGTTAGAACTCTGTAACCATTGACTACCATAGTATGAAAAACAAATAACATTACAGAGGATATATCTATATTTGTATATCTAAGTTAGAACTCTGTTTTTTCTACTATGGATGACAATGGTTACAGTTCCAACATCTTTTGTGTTGTGTTGTTTGTTTTTCCTACTGTTGTAGTAAATTGTTAGAGTTCTAACATTTTTAAAAAATATCTTCTTTTGTGTTGGAATGTTGTAACCATTAACTACCATAGTAGTAAAAACAAATACTAAATGAATAATTACAGGTTTTTGACATTTATCAAAATATATTTTCGTGTGTTTATTAGAAAAAAAGAACCTCAAACAGGTTTATGACATGTAAAGTGTGAGTAAATAATACACCATGTTCAGTTTTGGGTGAGCTATCCTGTGAAAAGTCAAGGTTTTGACTCGCTACACTACTGTTCAAAGGTTAGAGGTCAGTAAGGATTAGTAATCTTTTATGCCATTGTATTTTCTCTTAAATGATTACATTACCCTTTATACACAGACAAGTACACACATCAAATTTTTTTTTAAAGATTTGTCAGATTTTTTTTTCATTAAATTTTTTTTACAAAAAATTTTAATAAAATTATTTTTATTTTAATACTGTAGATTGGAGCATCCAGGACAAGCATAAGAACCACTTTGATGAACAATACAAAATGTGTATCCTCCATCCTCACTCAAAACATGATTTTTGCTATTTGCTTAAACTACTTCCTGAAAATTAGCTCAATCAGCACAATTCTTAGGGTTTTTTAAAACAACTCAATTGTTTTATATTCACTTAAATTATTGTAAAACATTAAGTTTATTTGTTTTGGGATAACATGAAGGATTTGTTTAGAAGCCAGCATTTTATTTTACAGTATTGGTTGTAAAAGGTGTCTGCTGGTGTATTTGCACTCATGCTTCAAATTTCTGTAAATGCGCTCTGGACAATTTGCAGACTGTGGATTGAAAGTAATAATGCACAATTTCTGGCATACAGAAGGCTTAAATCAATGTATCATCAGGTAGTGAAGGTGTTCATGTTGTTTTCCCAATTTAATGCAGTGGCCGAGAGAGTTTTCCACACTGTTAGTGAAGAAAATACATTTAAAGACAACACCTTTGATCAATCATTGTGAAGCATTCACAATGCAAATACAAAATTTCCCAATACAAAACATTGATCTGCAAAAAACACACCAACATGTTTTTAGTTTTACTGGCTTGTTCCCAATTAACTTGCTCTTTTGAGAGTAAAGCCAGGGTCCCACTGCACTGTTCCCCCTATAGACTTGCATTGTGAATGCGGCAGACCAGAAACACAGGCTTGTGCAACAAGTTTCGAAGTTCGGAGGTGGAAAGTTCAAGATTGGTCTTACGCGCGTTAAGCTCTATTGGCCACGTTTTTTGCACTCTCAAGTGCTGATAGCCACTTATGTGCAGTTTAGGATTGGCTAAAGACCACGGTTTCGCTTATTACTGTTCTTCTGGTGAAAAACTCACCTATAGCTTAAATGGTTTAAGGATAAGAATATTAAAGGAATCGTGCAAATTTACTCTCAATTTAAAAGAGATTCCAAGCTAGGCACAGGCCGGTATAAGATTCTGATGATCTGATAAACTTGGATAAAAATAACACGGTAACACCCCACTGTGCTTACCGCTCTAAAATATATTCCTTTTAAATGTTTGGGTAAAACAAAAACTTTTTTCATCTTTGTAAAACAATTCATTCTATTTTTTTTGAAAGATCTACAATATGTTGGAGCAGTAAACATGTCAGGCTGAATAATTCAAAAGATTAATAGATTTGTGCTGTCTTCATTTGTTTTAAAAACACAGATTTCTTTACAAATTAAAACAGCATCTTTGGATATTTTTTTTTCTGCTGGAGATACTGTTGTCCTAATAAACAAAAAAAAAATCTTACATATACCTTAGGAATGGTATTACAGAAAATGTTGGCGGTTTAAAAACCTTAACTTTTCTAAACCGCGGTATACCTTGAAAACAGTCATCCTCCCGTGCCCATTCCAAACTTTTGAGAGCTTCTTTTTTTTTTTCTGTGGAACACTAAAGATATTTTGAAGAAAGCTTAAAAAGCGATGACTTCCATAGTAGGAAAAACAAAATACTATTGAAGTCAATGGTAACAGGTTTCTTGCATTGTTCAAAATATCTTCTTTTGTGTCCAATAAACTCAAACAAGCTTGGAACAAGTGAGTAAATGATGACAGAATTTAACATTTTTGGCTGAACAATCCTTTGAATGTGTTTTTGCTGGAAAGCCAAAATCTTACTGACCACAAACCTTTGAAAACTATTGTACGTAAATAGCGCAGATCCAAAGCGAATGTTTTTATTTGTGCCAAACTAAATTGCACCTAGAAAACTTCATCTTTGTTTTGTATGCTGCAGATCTGTACTTATGAGTGAATGTGCATTGTGTGTGAAGCAACAGTTGGGTACAAAAATATATATATATTTCACAGTAATGTGATCCCAAGATGTGTCTGGTGTTGAACTGAAATACACACATACTGGGAAATAAAAGCAGAGAATGGACAAACACACACAGCAGCATCTGGCTTCTCTCTTCATCTAAGTGTAAAGTAAGGTGAACTGGCGGGGGCGAGTATCTTATCTCTGTTCCTGCAGTCTGCTTTATCAGATGAGAGGAAGAGTAGAGAGAGTTTGATTAATCACTGCCCAGAGAAAGCAGAGAGCTGGAGAGCTTTGGGGCCCGACTGCAGGAAACAAAGCCCTTAAATAAGACTTGCTCAGGTCCGCTGGGAGCCTCCGCTGCAGACAGTACAGTGTGTGCTGTAGGGGAGAGGAAGGAAAATAAATGGTGTGAACTCCAAAATGCCTATGCATGTGATAGCAGAGCCACGCTATTGATGCGGCAAATACTGCTTGTAATAAAGTATTACTTTGGGGGGGTAGGACCTTTTCTGAGCAATATATATATATATATATATATATATATATATATATATATATATATATATATAGAGAGAGAGAGAGAGAGAGAGAGAGAGACTTCCATAAAACAGGCAACAACTGTAAGTAAATTAGTTTGAAGAATGCAAAAAAAAAAAAAAAAATACATTTGCAAAAACTGCTCCATGAGGTGTTATTATTGTCACGCCTCAAACACTGAAAATTAAAAGTAAGCCATTGCACTTTGTTTTATGGTATTGTGTTATATGATGTAAACTACATGGATTAGTTTAGGTAAGAAAAAAAAAAAAAGATAGTTACCCAGGTCATGTAATTGCTATCAGTGTTGCCTCTAGTATTTTTTCCAGCAGTGGTGGCAGGCCTCTTACACTACTTCCAACTTCCTACAGTTGCAATCAGAATTATTAAACCCTTAACCCTTATCAAATCAAATATTTTTTTATTTCCCATGTTCAACAGAGCAATGAAATTTTCACAGTATGTCTGATAATATTTTTTCTTCTGGAGAAAGTCTTAATTGTTTTATTTCGGCTAGAATAAAAGCAGTTTTAAATTTTTTGTAGACATTTTACAGTCAAAATTATTAGCCCCTATAAGCTATATTTTTTTCAGATAATCTACAGAACAAACCATCATTACACAATAACTTGCCTAATTATCTTAACCTGCCTAGTTAATCTAAGTAACCTAGTTACCACCGCAAAGGTTATTAGAAATGAGTTTTAAAACTTGTTTGGAAATGTTGAAAAAAAATATTTTCTCTGTTAAACAGAAATTGTGGGAAAAAAATAACAACAGGGGGACTAATAATTCTGATTGCAACTGTATGTGCAAGAAGTTGGCTATTTACGAAATGTCTCAGGGTTACGTTAATTTATCATTTCGTTATCAGGTCATTTATGTTAAGAGTATGTCTGTTAATAGATTTGCTAAGAATATTTATGAATGAATCCTATAGACCTTCAGAACGGCATTGACACATCTTTTCTACAGTTGATTAAAATAAGCAGAGGCTTTATGTAATGTAAATTACATCTGAAATAAGAGATTTCTTTTAGCTTTGCAATATAAATTGCTTACCTGTCCAACATTGGCATCAGAATTCACTTCTCCAAATCGATATTAAATCTCACTTTACTTGGTCTTCTGACTTTGTTTCTTCTGCTGTAGGCTACATTTATTATGCTTAAGCTGAATCCACCGTTGTCTCTGTAGCATAACATGATAACCATGATCTCTGTCTGATCTTCTTTTGTTTGTTCATTCATTTTTATGTTTCAGCTTCAGTTTTACGAGTTTAAAAAATGAAAAGAAGACTTTACAATTTAGCTTACCCAATTCACCAATAGTGCATGTCTTTGGACTGTGAGGGAAACCAGAGCACCCGGAGGAAACCAATGCAAACACAGGAAGAACATGCAAACTCCACACAGAAACGCCAACTGACCCAGCCAAGGCTCGAACCAGCAACCTTTCTTGTTGTTAGGCGACAGCTCAATCCACTGCACCAC